TCCGATGCCAGACAGTTCAGTTTCTCCCCTATGAGTCTGGGTCCCCAGAGACTCGCCCGGAACTGGAGTTCAGAGTGGGAGTGTGTGTCTCCCTCCCGATTGAAAAAGACAACCGCGTCCTCAGTTGCCAGCCCTTTCCATGTGCGCCTCTGTACCTCTGCACTTTACTTCCTCACCTCCTCTGAATCTCAGTGTGCTTTTCTCTTTCCTTCTAGTTGTAGAATTTCCACTCAGCCAGCCTTCCTGTGGTTCTGGATGATGTCTGTTTTGTCTTTTAGTTGTATTTTTGAAGTGGTTGTGTGAGGCAGCAATTTCAGGTGTTTGCCTATGCCGCCATCTTGGTTTCTCCGCGGATATAGAATCTTGAGCGTATGGACTTAAGAGAGTAGAGCCAGCATATTTTTCTGATGGATAGAATATGAGTGTAAGAAAAAGAGAGGAGTCAATCATGATTTTTTTAAAATATATTTTTATTGATTTCAGAGAGGAAGGGAGAATGAGAGATAAAAACATCTATGATCAGAGAGAATCATTGATTGGCTGCCTCCTGCATGCCCCCTACTGGGGATTGAGCACACAACCCGAGCATATGTCAACGCTCAGTCATTGAGCCGTGCTGGCTGGGCTCAATGATGACTTTTATTTGAGCAGCAGGAAAGATAGAGTGGCCATCAACTGTAATGGAAAGCTAAGAGCAAGTTGGAGGGTTATGCATTTTTGGTAAGGACACCACAGAAGTGATGTGGCCTTCTCGTGCCTCATATCAGGAACACAGAATGCTAACATGTCTCACTGCTGGTGAGGCTCACCTTGAACACGTGGTTGAGGTGATATCTGCTGGGTTTCTCCATGGTAAAGTGACTATTTCTCCCTTTGTAATTAATAACAATGTTGAGGAAGACACTTTGAAACTATGCAAATACCCTGTTTCTCCTCAAACTTTGTTCTGTTGATTTTTTTGTTCTTTAGAGAGAGAGGAACGGAGAGAGAGATAGAAATGTTGATGAGAGAGAAACATTGATTGGCTGCCTCACATCCCCACCTGCAACCCAGGCATGTGCCCTCACGGGGAAACGAACTGGCGACTTCTTGATGCATGGGATGACACTCAACCAACTGAGCCACATCCACCGGTCCTCAAACTTAGTTCTAATGCTGACTTTCTGTTTCCCTCATTCATTCTACATTTATTAATTCTGTAAGAATTAATAAATTTTGCAAGAAGGAATTGTCTGTGCTCTTCTGTTTATTTACTCAGCTACTTTTTACATCAGTGTGGACTCATGGATATTTATTTTATTCTATGAATTATAACCAAATATTATCCTTTATTTTGGTGCTCAACTTGTCCCATCTTTGACCATTTTAAGAGTTCTTTTAGGATGGCACCTGTGCCCTTTGAACATGCCCTATCCTTTTTTGAGAACTTTTATTTTTCTAGACACCAACAGATGATCTCGGTTCGGCTTGTGTTTTCCCTGCATAATTTCTATCCCTGGAATCGACCACTTCTTCAAGGAGCTCCTGTTCCTTTAATTGGAGAATGATATTTAGAAGCCAAGATCTGAGCAGTAGACTTTCTCACTGCTATTAAGATCTCACTACTTGTAGGCCCTCTCAGTGGACAGAGCTTGTTATATGTGTCGCTGGTTCACTCCCGACTCTGATAGGAAAGGTCTTCAGGAGCCCTTGACAGAAGCAGGAAGGTGGTCTGCTTTTATGCTGCCCGAGGGAGAGGTGCCTGAGAATGAGTGGCTGAAGATCAGACCTGCAGCATGTTAATCAGATCATTTTATCTTAGAAGGCTAGAGTTGGGCAGGCCTGAGTTGCAAAAAGTATTGGCCATATTAATCCTAATTCTCAGGACCTCAGTTTTTTCCTTTGTAACATGTGAACATAATTCCAACCCTGTAAAATTATTCTAAGTTGCAGATAAACTATGTAAAGTACCCAGCACATTAGTCAGTTAGTGAGGGTTATCAAAGTAAGTTTTGGCCCTGGCCAGTGTGGTTCAGTTGGTTGGGTGTCATCCTGTGCACTGAAAGTTGCTGGTTTGGTTCCCGGTCAGGGCATGTACCGGGTTGGGGGTTGAGGCTCAATCTCCAGTACATGGCATGAGGGAGGCGGCCGATCAATGTCATGCTCTCACATTGATGTTTTTCTCTTCTCCCTTCCTCTCTCTCTAAAAATCAATAAACTATTTTTTTAAAGTAACTTTTGATTTCCATGAGAAAAAATAGATTTCTTACATCTTATGTATAATATATAAATATATCATGTTTTTTAAATCCACCAAATACATATCTGTGTGAGTTGCTGTGTGCATACGTGTACACACACAACTATTAGTAAGGTCGATACCTTTGAATCCAAAACTTGAATATAAAACAAATAATCATACAGTTCCTGCCATCTGGGCAGTTTTTAATTTCTAATGTTTATTATATGTCTCTATATCTTTTGGGGGAAAATACTCATTCAATCTTTTTTAAACTATATTTTTATTGATTTCAGAGGGGAAGGAAGAGGGAGAGAGAGATAGAAACATCAATGATGAGACACAATCATCGATCAGCTGCCTCCTGCACGCCCACTACTGGGGATCAGGACCTCAATGCGGGCATGTGCCCTGACCAGGAATCAAACCGTGACCTCCTGGTTCATAGGTTGATGCTCAACCACTGACCCACCCAGCTGGGCACACTCATTAAATCTTAAGGCTTTACATATGCCTGTCTATTCCAGGAAACACTGGAGGAGGCAAGAGTGGGACTTCATGAGTATCTGGTCTTGAGGTATATCGCTTGCTGGCCTTTGTGGCATTTACTGGGGATTTATATTTATTCCACAGGAACAGCAGCTTAATAAAAAAAAGAGGGCTGGTGTAGGTGTCAGGAAGCTAGATGCTAGTTCCCTCTGCAGTATTATTTAGCTGTGATTTGAGGCAAGTCTCTGGACCTCTCTGTTTGCTCTTTTATGAAATAACTAGAGGCCCAGTGCACAAAATTGTGCACGGGGGTGGGGGTGGGGGTGTCCGTCAGCCCAGCCTGCGCACTCTCGCAATCTGGGACCCCTCGGATAGGGTCCCGAGGCCTGGGCAGGCCTATTGGGCTTTCCTTCCCCCCGGCTGCCGGCAGCTGGCCCCCCCCCCGCTGCTGCCACTACTTGCCATCTGTGCAGCGCTGCACACCCCCTCCCCTACCAGTCACCTCCCTCTGTGGGCAACAGGTGTGAGGTCTGATTGCTTGGCTGGCCTGGGCTTCCCTCTGCAGGATGGTTGCTGGCTGCCCTGCACACCCGCCACAGCATCACTGGCCAGTCGCCTGGGCCTCCCTCTGTGGGGCAATTGATCGCGGGGGTCCCCAGATCGATCAGCCCAAAGAGCGAGGCCCCACCCACCCGGCTGGGGCTCTGTGATTAGTCGCAGTGCAGAGGGTGGCTTGGGCCTCCTTCTTTGGGAAGATCAATCGCAGAGCCCCTACAGAGGGTGACCTGGGGCAATTGTGGGGTGATGGCACGGGCCCCCCGCCAATCGCATTGCACCTGCCTTGGCTGGCTTGGTGTCAGTGCGTGTCATAGTGTGGTCATCCAGAAGGTCGTCCAGATGGTCGTTCTGCTGTTCGGTTCAGTCAATTTGCATATTATGCCTTTATTATTATAGATTATTATAGATGAGGTTTGGCCTAAATACTTCTAAGATTCCATCTAGCTTTTTTTTAAAATATATTTTTTATTGATTTCAGAGAGGAAGGAAGAGGGAGAGAGAGATAGAAACATCAATGATGAGAGAATCATTGATCAGCTGCCTCCTGCATGCCCCACACTGGGGATCAAACCTGCAACCCGGGCATGTGCCCTTGGCCGGAATTGAACCTAGGACCCTTCAGTCCACAGTCAGTCCACAGGCCGGCACTCTATCAACTGAGCCAAACTGGCTAGGGCTGGCTTTTTTTTTTTTTTTAATATGTTTTTATTGATTTTAGAGAACTATGGGATTGGAACCTCCAGGGGGGGCCATGTCAGCCGCAGCCACTGAAGACCATCTGGGCTTCCTGTTCAGTTCTCAAAGGTGTTTAAGCATGAAGAGAAGTGAAACTTTAAATAGAAACCCCAAAATGCCCAGATCTGGTTTCCTCTGCTGTCTGCTAGTTCCCTAAATACAGCCTCACTCGTATTTTAGCTCAAAGGAACACTTTTCAGATCCAAAAGAACTACTGAAGGAACAGAGACATCGAGATCTGATTCCAGTGAAAACTGCTTTTTAGTAAGTAAGCTTTAAATGAATGTTCCTGAGAGTGAATGAACACTAGGTTTAAATCTTCTCTTAATTATGTTGCTACCATATTCTTGTTCCCATATTTATCTTAGACTGAAAAAAATTAAGGGAAGGGGCGATATTATGCAAGTATATATAATTGAATATGCAGTACAAGAAGGTATAACCCCCTGTCCAGCTGACTCAGTTGGTTGGAGTGTTTTCTCATACACCAAAAGGTTGTGGGTTTGATTCCCAGTCAGGGCACATACCTAGGTTGCATGTTTGATTCCTGGTCAGTGCGTGTACTGGAAGCAATTGATCGATGTTTTTCACATTGATGTTTCTCTTTCTCCCTCTCTTCCTTTCTAAAAATCAATAAAAACATATCCTCAGGTGAGGATTTAAAAAAAAAAAGAAGAAAGAAGGTATAAATGCATTGCTGCTACCTCAGTCACACATCGAGGCAAAAATAATAATTATGAACATTTGTTAGCACCTACTTAGACTGATGCTGTACTTAGTATTTTGCATATGAGATCTAAATAACTCCTTAGAGCAGTGATGGCGAACCTATGACACGTGTGTCAGAGGTGACATGCGAATTCATTTTTGTGGTTGATTTTTCTTTGTTAAATGGCCTTTAAATATATAAAATAAACTACTTAGACTGATGCTGTACTTAGTATTTTGCATATGAGATCTAAATAACTCCTTAGAGCAACTCTGTGAGGTAGGTTGTGGGATAATAGAAAATGTCAACTGTGGATAATGAAACCTATCTCGTAGAATTTTTGTAATGATTAGTGTCTTGACTCCACCCAGCATGGCACTTGGGCAGGGTCCCCAGGAACCTCCAGGTTCTGTGATTCACTGGAGGGTTCACGGGACTTGGCAGAGAGGCACAGCCATGGTTTAGTTGAGCCAGAGCAAAGTCAGCCGTGGAAGAAACGCATGGGACAAAATCCGTAGGAAACCAGGTGCAGGCTTCCAAGAGTCCTCTCCCAGTGGAGTCACACAGGACACACGTAATTCCTCCAGCAAATAAAACGGTGCCAACCAGGGGAGCTCATTAGAAAGTCAGTACCTAAGGTTTTTATTGGGTGGTGGCCATGCAGGCCCCATCTGTAGCACAGATCAGAATTCCAGAGTCACAGGGGAAGCAGGTGTGTAACATAAACCATATTATTTGCACAGTTTACACAGTGAGTCATCGTGAGGGAATGGCGAGCGTCTCTCTCAACCCAAGCGCCCAGATGCCAGCCAAGGGCTAACCTTGTATGCAGACCTTTCTAAGGACAGCAGTCTCAGGCCGCTGTGTTAACTCAAAGTGCATTTCCCTTTTTATTTTGAGAGATAGGAAAGCTGAGTCTCGATGTTTGGGTGGCTTTAATGAGGACACACAGCTAGCAGGTGGCCAGGCCAAGATCTGGGACCCAGGTGTCATGGAAGACCCTGAGAAGAAGCTGGGTGGGGCCAGGAGACCCTCTACAGGTCAGGCAGTGATGTCCAATAGAACCTTCTAGATCTGCACTGTCCACTACAGCAGCTGAGCACATGTCGCTACTGAGCACTTGGAATCACGCTAGGATGAGCTAAAAAAGTGTTGCATTTTAGATTTTTTTAAATTTTTAATTTAAATTTAAATAGGTGCATGTGGTTAGTTGCTACCACACTGGACAGCACAGTATATCATAATGCAATGAGTTTTTTTCTCAGGGGAAGTAGATGGGATAAATAGACTGTGACTCTTGTTCTAAACTACCGAATGCACTGATCTGTCTGTCCTCAGTGGATGCCCTTGTGTATGTGCAACAATGAAAACTAACATGTAACATTTGCACATTCCCTGCAAAACGTTTTTCATTTGCTTTTGCTTTTGTGTGGAATGCACTGATCTATCCTCAGTGGATGCCCTTGTGTACGTGCAACAATGAAAACTAACATGTAACATTTGCACATTCCCTGCAAAACGTTTTTCATTTGCTTTTGCTTTTGTGTGTTTTTTTGTGTGTGTTTTGTTTTGTTTTGGTTTGGTTATTAAATAAAGCTTTGAGGTGGGCCCTGCAGGGCATTCTGAGGCCCACCCTGGTGAAGTGCTGGTGGGAGTCCATGCTGCCTCTCGGGAATGCTCAGGCCTCTGCTACTGAGAGATGGGGTGTCCAGCAAGTCAAGGCTGACTTTCTACGTACTTGCACCTTCTCTGTCTGATTTTGGATGAAGTGCTCTGAGCAAATAACCAGAAGCCCAGGGAAGGGAAGAGACTTTAAGAACCTATATAGTTAGTTAGGTAACTGGGCCTCAGTCTCTCGTGTTCATCCTAACCCCAGGGGTGATGTGGTCCCTGGCAGCACATGGGTAGGTCTGGTGAAGGCCAAAGAGAGCTCATGGGTTGGGATGTTGAAGCGGGAGAGCTCTCCCAGGGGTTATGCAAACCAGGTTGGAGTGAATTAACCCAGTTAGAATCCTGGCTCCGCTGCCTTAAGGTATTTCACAAAGCTTCAGTATCCTCATCTGTGAGATGGGAGGATCACTGTGAAAACTAAGTGGAAGCAGCCATACATCGCCGCTGCCTCTGGGCTGCGACTGTTACTGCCTGCAGGCCAGGCTGGGTGTGGGAGACGGGAAACACAGAAGGCAAGACCTGGGTTGCCACTGACCTGGTACCACTCCCATTCCAGCAATTCCCCTTCTGTTTGATGTCTGTGAATATCACCCGCATCGCAATCCAGGCCTTAAGAGAGGAGTGTCTCTCCAGGTGAGTCCTCCCACTGCTCACCACCCCCCCATTCCCCGCCCCCTCGACCTCACCAGCTGATGAGAAGGACCCAGCAGAGCCTGGTTCCCTCCCTCCCTGCCTCATTCTCCCCAGCTTCCTTCCTCACCTGCTGGCTTCTGGGGGCACTAGGCAATGTCCATGTGCACCAGTACCCATCTGCCAGCCCCTCCCCAACCCTGAGCTCAGATGTGAAGGCTGCCTGGGGAATGGCTCCCCGGGAGGGTAGTGGGGAAGGGCACCCAGGGGCCAGCCTTTGTCCATCACCTCCCTTCCTGCAGGGAGTGTAATCGGCAGCAGAAGGTGATCCCAGTGGTGAACAGCTTCTATGCTGCCACTTTCCTCCACCTCGCTCATGTCTGGAAGACGCAGCAGAAGACCATCGCAGACTCGGGCTTTGTCCTCAAAGGTGTGCTCTTTCTTCTGGGGAGACCTACCTCTTCCAGGGCATCCCGGGCTTAGGGACCTCAGGGTGGTGTCTAGACTGGGCTTGGCTGCAGTTCCCTTCCAGCCCACCCTCTGGAGCCTGCTAGCTCTCCCTTCTCTGCCACCCCCTCCTCCCTTTCTGCCCTTCTACCTGTGGTGATATTTTCTGAATCAAAAGCTGGGTCTGACAGTGGACTGACTATTCACAGTTGCAGTTGTCCTGGGCAAGGTAGAGTGTGTGGTCCCTGTGGACCCTGTGGTCCCTTGATCTCCCTCCATGGTGAGCTCCCCATCTTAGAGGTCTCTTTCACCTCTCTCCATAGGACCCGGGCTGGGGGTACTCCCTAGAGCTGCTGGGCCATGGACTGTGCATCCAAAGCCCCCTCAAGCCTTTTGTTCCCAATGCTCTCTGTTCCAGACTTGGAAGTGTTGGCCAAGAAGAGCCCACGGCGGCTGCTCAAGACCCTGGAGATCTACTTGGCTGGAGTATCGAAGGGACAGACCTCCTTGCTGGGAGCACAGAAGTGCCGTGGGGCACCAGCCCCTCACTCCAAGGACCTCACTTTCACAGGCGTGTGTGACCTGCCACCACACTCATCCGAAGGCACGTGGCCGGTCTGACCACCGAGGCAAACCATATCAGGAACACCTGGCTGGACCACGCCCCTTCCCATCTCAGCAGAAGGGATGTGGAAGCTCCCAGGCCTGGTCGGGGAAGCCAAGGACCCTCCTCCTATTGAGACACAGGGGCAGTCAGACTTGATGCACTCCGTACAGATCTGCGTCCTTTGCTGTCATCTGAGTTGGGTTCCTGGTCATCTCGGTGAGAGTGAATGGATCGTGAGGTGGGAGAGCCCCACCAGGATGTTCCACACGCCCTCAGGTAGGGCTTTCAGACCCCTGGTGGCCATAGGACAGGGACCAGACAGGGACATAGAGTGTCTAGTTAGAATATGAAGGGAGGTGGCAGTGGCAGCAGCCAACAGGGGGCAGCATGAACAAGAGCAAGACGCCTGAGGCCACAGCTGGGCCCGCCCTCCTCTCCTCCATCCACCAGGCCAGTAGAAGAACCCCTCTGGGGCTTCTGGCCTCCCATTTGTCCCATCTCCTCTCCTCCCCGCTGTTTATGGTACAGAGCAGGGCCTCTGGCCGAGTCTCCATTGCTGCCCATCCTAGCTGCCTGCCAGCCGGGCTTCCCATGGAGGTTGTGCGGTGCCCATCACAGATGGTTTTCTAGCCTGGTTGGGGGAAGGAGGAAATCAGAAGTTATTGAATAAAAGAATTGTTCTGGGTTAAGGTTTCCATGTGTTTCCTCTAAGACAAGCCTTGTGCCTTCCCTGAGCCCTGCTAGAGCCCGGCACTCCTACCGGGTGAAGGCCCTGGCCAGGGCTCCCAGAGAGGGCGCTGTGCCCTCACCAAACTCCCACTGAGTTCATGTGACGTCCACCCTGCACTTCTGGGTCCAGAGACTCTAACCAGTGGGCGAGGTAAGATTGACTGGTGTGCCCTAGCCAGTTTGGCTCACTGTATAGAGCATTGGCCCATGGACTGAAGGGTCCCGAGTTTGATTCCGGTCACGGGCACGTACCTGGGTTGCAGGCTGAATCCCCAGCCGGGTCGGGTCCATGCAGGAGGCAACCAATTGATGTGTCTCTCACATCGATGTTGCTCTGTGTTTCCCCCTCCCACTCTCTCTAAAAATCAATGGAAAAATATCCTTAGGTGAGGATTAACAACAAAAAAAGATGGACTGGTATGAAGTGCCCACACTGGTTTTTTTCCTGCAGTTTCTGGGGAAGCTGGCTGTTCCTTCATTCACAAAACAGCCTCCAGGCCAGGGAATCCTGACCTGGGGCGGGGGCCCCACTACACTGCTCTCCTGTCCTCTGCCCTCCCTCAGGTAGAGCGTGGAAGACCCTGTTAGCCCCTGCAGGCCTCTCCAAGGCTGACCCTCTGGAGGTGGGGCCATCACAGGGGTGGGGTTGACACATGGCCACCCCAGGGTGGAAGGGAACTTGTCAGCAGGATGCCTCGGGGGCGGGGCTGGCAGTGGACCCTGCAGTGTGCCTGTGTCATCTTTGCCTGACCGGAACTAATCCTTCCTCCAGTCCGGGCTTAGCTGACCCGCAGAGATGCAGGGAGATGGGTGGGTGGGAATGCAGAAGGGCCGCAGCCCAGCCTCCACTTCGGTGTCAGGTTCCTTCCACCTGCGCTGACCTGACTGCATGCTCAGTCTGATCACTGCCAGGGCCCGGCCAATGGGCCTCTCAGGTGCCCTCTTCCCAAACCCTCCCTGGGCAACACCCTCCAGACAGCGGAGCGCTCACAGCAGTAACACAGTTCAGGGATCAAGTTCTGCTGATGGACTGTTTGGAGTGGGGCCGGTTAGGGGGAAGGAGGGGCCGGTGTTAGTCTCTAAAAACTCTGAAAGTAGATGGATGCAAAGCCCTAGCCAGTTTGGCTCAGTGGATAGAGCGTTGGCCTGCAGATCGAAGGGTCTCAGGTTCGATTCCGGTCAAGGGCATGTACCTCAGTTTCAGGCTCCTCCCTGGCCCAGGCCCTGGTCAGGGCTCATCCAGGAGGCAACCGATCGATGTGTTTCTCTCACATTGATATTGCTTTTTGTCCTTCCCTCTCTCTTCCACTCTCTCTAAAAATCAATAAAAAAATATTCTTGGGTGAGAATTAAAAATAAATAAAAATTTTAAAAAATGAAAAAGTATGATACAAAAATCTTAATCTGCAGTTTTGGGCAGGGAAAGGCCTGCCTAGGCCTTTCATGGGAGACTTAATATGCTTCACAACCCTCAAGGTGTGAGAACTACAGGTTTGGTGCAGCCCCTAACTCCCCCTTTTAAGAATCATCCCTGAAGCTTCCGGTCAAGATAGCAGAATAGTGCCCTTTAAAAAACGCCCCCTGGCACTGCTCTGTGTCGGCTGTCAGGGGGACGACTGTGCAGAGAAAGGCAGATATCCAGGGAGCTGATTTTTTATGCCTCTTGGCACAAAATCAACAAGATGAACTTGATTAGAATTTCTATTTAGACTAGAAAGAGCAAGCATGTCAGCTCAGAAGCCACACAGCCCTGGGGGCCCAGGGGTGAGCTTGGGTCAGCACAGACGTGCCCGGCCAGGCCTCGCACTCTGCACTCTGGTCTAGGCTCACACCGCCCTGCCTCGCTCGTCCCCCTGGGTCATGTGCTCAGGATGGGACTGCTTTGGGGCAACTCCATTCTCCCCTTGTTTAGCGATCTGGCCTCTTTGATATTCCAGCCACCACCTATTACGCAAGAGCATGAACTCAGGGGCCCTGGTAACACGTGAGGCAATGTGCCGTGAAGTGACGAGCCAGACTTCTGCACAGGAGGGAAGGTGGTGCTGTTGCCTGGCGAGCATGCGTCGTGTGGAAGCAGTGGCTTATTAGGGCAGCTGAGGAAATGCTGGCTCGGACGGAGAGGCAGCCCCAGCCAGTTGCCACAACCTTCTCCCAGTTGGGAACGTGAGACTGATCTGAAGCCTCTGGCTGCAAGTGATCCTGAGCCTGGCGCTGTGCCACCTCCCTGTTGGGTTCACAGCAGTACCTGCCGGGCCCATGGGACTCCTGGCCCCTCCGCCTTAATCCTGCAAAGCCAGCGCCGGCCCCTCGGAGGGGAGAACGTGTCCCCTGGATCCCACTGCACCCAGCATAGGAATGAGCCCGGTGCGCAAGTGGGGCGGGGAGAGTGAGCCCGGGGCAGCAGTGCAGGCGGAGAGCGGGGAAAGCACTTGTCTCCTTTATTGAACATCTGCAGGGCACCTCGGCACTGACCAGGCAGCAGGAGGAAGAACAAGCAGGCAGGGGGGTGCGCAGCGAGCCGGCCCTCTCACTTCCAGTTCTTGAAGAATTGCTTGAAGATGAGACTTTCACGGCCCTGGGGCAGGATCTCCACCTGCAGGGACAGCAGGGGGAGACTTGCTCACAAGGATGCTATCTCTGCCTCCGCCAGGGAAGGACGGGGTCGGGAGGGCGGGGCGCTGGGCACCAGGCCTCAGTCCACTTGCTGTCCAGGCCAAGGATGCTCCCCCAAGGTGATAAGAGCTGAGGAAGATTACAGGTCACGGCTGAGGAGACAGACTGCTCCCAGGACGTAGGAAACAGTTTGCAAGACGCGCCAATTACAGATGAGCCTTATCAGCTCCCCGCAAAATGGCTTGTGGAGTCACCACGCTGGGGTGAGAGGGGGTGGTACCAGCTTGGGACAGTGGCCCAGAAGTGCACAAGCTGTTCAGAGGCTCACCGGCTCCCAGGGGAGTACTGCCCAACATCCTCTTGGAAAATCACATTTACTTTAAGTTTTTCAAGGATTGAGAAGAGCTTCCCCGCTGGGTGGGTCTGGTAGGGAGGCCGGACTGTCCCTCACTGCCTGAGGTTTTCCTGCCCTTCTTGTCCCGTCTTGAGTGGCAGCAGGTCAAGGGAGTGTCCCAGGCGGAGGGTCAGGGGCACGGTATCTCCTCACCTGCGTGTTTGGGGCGTACCGCATGCGGGAGATGAAGCCCTCGGCCACTTGGAGGGCCGCCTGCCGCTCCTTCTCATTAGCTTTTCGCCCTGGACCACAGGAAGGAGAGGTTTCAGAAGATCAGGAACCCTCTCTAGCCCACATGCCGTTTTTCTTGAGGAAATTTCAGGGGGTCCCCAGAATAGCTGGCAACTTTAAAAATAAATGGGCCAGCCCTAGCCGGTTTTGCTCAGTGGACAGAGCGTCGACCTGCGGACTGAAGGGTCCCGGGTTCAATTCTGGTCAGGGGCACATGCCCGGGTTGCGTGCTTAATCCCCATTAGGGGGCATGCAGGAGGCACCTGATCAATGATTCTCTCTCATCATTGATGTTTCTATCTCTCTCTCTCCCCTCTCCCTTCCTCTCTGAAATCAATAAAAATATATTTAAAAAATAAATAAATAAATGGGCCAGGAGGTGATAAGACTGCTGAGCTCTCCGGAGGTACGAAGTCAGCCCCTTGAGGCTTCTCCCCGTCTGGCAGCTGAGCCAGATGAAAAATGCCCTTCTGCCCACTCATGAACACTCCATCAGACCCAGGGACATTCATGGCGTTAGAGCCATGGCCCCACCCCAGGCCCCTGGCCTCCTGAGCCTGCCACGTTCTGTTATCACGCCTTCACCGTACAGCCGACTAGGACAAAGGGTGTGACTACCCCAGTCTCACTCCCATAATGCCAGCTAGCCGACACAGGCCTAACAGTGATGCCAACTAAGAGCATAAGAAGGAAGGCCCCAGAGCCACCCATTCTCTCCTAGCGGCAGTCCCTTAACACAAGTGGGCTCCAGCTTAAGGCATTTTCCAGGGCAACAATATTGTCAACTGTGGTTGGCTCTCCAGTGCTAAAGACAAACAGATCCAAATGGAATCCCTTGTGGTAAACCCCACGAGACTCAGTGCCTACCCTCACTGCAGTGCCCGCCTCTCCCAGGAGTGGAATTCTGAAATCCATCGTCCGGAATTTCCTGGTGAGCACTAGTGAGGCATCTGCCTGATAAGGCCCCCGCCCCCCTAAGAGAAGGTGCCCTGGCCTGGAATAATCCACTCTTCTCACTTCCTTGTCCCCCTATAGAAGACTTCCATTTGCACAGCGCCTCTCGGTACCCTTCCGTTTACTGGACGGGAAGCAGCCTGATTCACGATCTTTACGTCGACTGCGTTGAATTTCGTTCATTACCACTGTAACTGCAGAACCAGCTCAAGCTGGCCTTACCCTCTTTCTAACAAGATACTGGGGTCAACAAAACAAACTCGTTAAGTCATGCGGCCGAGGCACGCACAGGAGAGAATTTTGATCTATAACAACACCCAGAACCAAAGTTTCACCCCCAACTTCCTGGAACCAAAAAGCTGAGACTTGACTGGAACTTGATCATCTGAGTCCTTTCAGAACCCAAGGGTCTGTTGTCCAGAACGATCCGGTGCTGAAACCCTCCGATTGAAACCTGCCCGGCCAGCCCTCCACGCGCCAGACTGTTCTTCCCTTACGCTATCCCTGCCCCCCAACCCTCGATCTGGGAGGCAGTTTGAGTTGCTTCCTATCTCCTTGCTGGTTGACTTCCCAAAAAATCTTTTTTTTCTTTTCTCAAAAGCCAGTGCTGCCCTGGCCGGTGTGGCTCAGTTGGTTGAGAGTGCACTGGAAAGTCATGGGTTCGATTCCCAGTCAGGGCACATACCGGTTTGTGGTTTGATCCCAGGCCGGGGTGCATACGGGAGGCAACCAATCTGATCAATGTTTCTCTCACATTGATGTTTCACTCTCTCCCTCTCCCTCCCTCTCTCTCTCAAATCAATAAATATATATATATTTTTAAAAGCCAGTGCCATAGTACTGGCTTTAGTGCCCCTGCTTGGTGATAACACCAACCAGGCTATACAATCCAGTTGCTACAAATTATCTAACTTAATGTGGCGTACCCTTCTCTGTGATTTGACCAGCTACCCACCAGATATCTTCCTGGCTGGCAAGTTTGTTTTTTCTTCTCTGGTTTCTCTTCCCTGAATTGTTTGGTTCTTTGCTTGGGGTTAATTACACTCCCATGGAGGTCTGCACACC